ACTAGTTTGGAATTGAACTGTAACACACATTGTCTATAGTGGAAGTAATTGGCTTGGTCCCAGAGTTTTTACCTAATTGGGGTTTCTCCGTCATCATATTGGTATTGATTTACTGCTTTCATTATTTATTGTTTATTGATCATATAAATTGCGGTATTCAAATATAGGCTAAATTGACTTATATGATTAACCATCTAGAAACTAGTTAAAAGTGACTTGTTGCTTTGATTAGTATTATTCCGCACATAAGGTCGAACTCGTTATTAAAAAGCATTTCTCAATTGGTATCAGATTTTAATTGGTAGAGAACTACGCGTATTGTATTTTTCATCTTCGACCTCATAGAAATGAAGAAGATAACATTTAGAACAAAAACGACAAATTTCAGCTGCCCATGTGAAAAAAGAGGGATTTTTTTTTAGTATTTTTGAACTTGCTGTCATGTTTTTTTCTAAGAAATTATGTTTCTGGCTTCTTGAAGTCGAACAATCATGCGAGTTGATTGGTTGCTATTGTTTGACAATCTTTTTTTATTATTTTTATAATTTTTATATTAACTTTTTCTTTTAGTTTTTCTCGGGTACTTTGTTCTTGTTAACATTGACGAATATAGACATTTTGAATTATGGATACAATCAAACTTTCAAATCGAATAAGTTGATTTAAAAAAATATAGTCTTAACCATGATCCTTACAGAGAATGATAAATCTTAAGAGACAAATTCAAATATAGTATAGCAATTTTCAACTTTTTCCATTTCAGATTAGATATTTATTGACCTATCATGAGTACGTAAGCAACATTTGTGAGGAAAAGCGACATTTGATTTGTCATGCCGTGTATTGGAAAAAAATGCTGCAAAATGTCGAGATATATTAACATGATATAAATTATGTCATTAAAAACAAACATCTAGTCAAGCTAAATGATCTTACCAAATTTGGCTTCATTTTTTAGGTACATGATTAAGGCAAATTCTTCGAAAATCCCTACACCCATAATCAAAGAAGGATTAAATTTATATTCTGTACTACGTTTATATGTTGACCTGCTCTCGGGTTCAATTGATTGAGATATTAAAGACAAAAAAAATAGACATTAAATTTTTAGTAGAGAAACGGATGATAAGTTATAGATTGTAAGAAATGAGGCATATAATAGTAAAGTGTAAAAATTATATACTTTGAAAAAACAAGATTTTTAACCATATACTTGAAGAAGCCTAACTGCACGTGCTTACGCGCAATGTAAATTGTGATGTTGCACCATTCTCGTCTTTATAAACCATATATAAATTTGTCAAGCGGAGATTAAATCTTTGACGCAAGTCATCTAAGCACTTTGTAGAATATACACAAATCAATCAAATACAATTTGAACTTCCAGTATTGAATTAAAACTAAAATAGCATAGTTCGATTACCAAAAAATATAATGCAATAATAACTGGAGAAAAAAAGAGTTGTAATTTTTTTTTTTAGAATGATACTGAATTTTAACATAGAATAAAAAAAGAAGCAAATATTAAACACTATTCATTAGTTTAAAATAATAAAATTGTTCGATTATTCTTTTTCTCTATCCATCCTCCCATTTTTCTTCTTCTTTACGCTTTGTATAAACTTTGAAATCAATGAAAGTGGATTAGGATATAAATGCTGATAATATTGTTTAAATTTATCCCATCAACCCATTGCCTATCTTCTTGTCATTTTCAGTTTTTTTTTTTTTGAAATGACAAGTTTGATGGAGTTTTTATTAATTGACTAAAATTTAAAAACTTGCTAATGTATTACATTTTCTCATAAAAAAGTCAAAAATTTGGTGGGGGCACGTGACCCATCATGCCCCCACCCTTTCGTCGTTGCTGAACACTATTCACCAGTTTAAATTATTAGAATTATCCGACTCATCAATGAAAGTAGATTATTATATAAATGTTGATAAAATTATTTAAAGCGATCCCACCAACCCGCCACTTGTCTTCTTGTCATTTTCAGTTTTTTTTTTCTTTTACTCGACGTGTTTGACCAAATTTTTATCAACTGACTAAAATTTTAATGTTTGACCAATATATTACATTTTCTCATAAAAAGTAATTTTGGTGCGGCATGTGAACCACCATAGTTCCACCACTACCTTCAACAACTTGAATGAACTCTCTAACAATGCCTCAAAAGTCAAAACTAAGCAAATTAGGGTTCAATCCAT